GGGGTCCTCCATTTTGTAGCGGGGCCTGAGGAGACACTGTCCCGCCTTGGCCGGAGCTCACAGGGCTTGAAGCTCCTGGGAAGGCAGAGTCGGTCACTGAGGGCAGTGAATGCTCAGGGTAAAGTGTAGTCACTGTTGGCATAGACAGGGTTTTATTATTTTATTTTATATATGTAGATATATATATTATTTTTAAGTCTAAACTCTTGCCTCTGGATGGCTTGGAGACAAACATGCTGGCGTACTGGCTCCTACTTATGCTTGTGAAAAGAATTTAATAGGAGACTGAGGAGGCTTATTAGTTTTAATAATCAGCTGCCATAAAAAGTAATAGAACAGCGCATCTCTGCTGTGGAAACCAAGGGGTGTTTTTAAAATGCCTCAGCCTTGCACTGACCATTTAGAAGTTCTGGGCTTTTAGAGTAATCTTTGGCTTCAGGCTGTATCAAAGGAGTTTGGATATTTCAGGATTGGAAAATGGTTGAGGGGGAGACAAACCCAAACCCTCTGGGCTGGCTTTTACCAGAGTTAGGAAGGTTTCACAGTGGTGTCTCATGTGCAGTTAATTAAATGGATGGAGCCATCACCTGGTTCAGCCTCCCATCACCAACATCTGTTACATGGCATAACAACAGCCACCTGTTTTGCCAAAAATCTTCTGGAAACTACTTCTCCTGTAGTTTGTTCTAGAAGTTATGAAGCAGAGCTACGCCCCCTGTATGCATTTGGTTGGTTTATTTCTTTAGTACCCAATTCCTAATGTGAATTTTATCAGAACTGCATTCCCACTCACTGCCTCTTCCCTCCTCCCCCTGCTTGGAAGCACTTCACTACAATGTGTTTTTTCTCTGCAAAGACACTTAGAGTCTATTGTCACAGCACCCTTTGGCTTTTCCTTTTTTTTTTCGTTTTGGTTATTTTTGTTGTTGTTGGGTGAGCTGTTTAAATCTCCGCCTGCAAGATGTTGGGTGGTTTTTTTTGCCCAGCCTCAGATTTATATGTGATACCTCCTTGTGCTTTCTCTCTGGGGTTTTAGCAGGATGCACACACCAGGACTGTATGCAAGAGTTGTGGTGCTGGTGCCGTATGCAGAGATAACATTGCCTTCCTATTTCCCTTGTTTAACAAGGCCAGTAATCTCATTAATCCTCTCCACCCTTATGAGCTCTTCATTGCCACCGCTATTGTACTGGAATCTCACAATGAGTTATTTATCTGTTACGTGCTCCTCATTCTTTCCAGTCATTGCTTTCTTGTAGGCGGCTACATACCTTTCATAGCAAGATTTGCATTTCCTATTCTGAGATATTTTACTTCTGGAGCTGCCCGCATTAAAATGCGTTTTGTTTGAATGGGCTCACTTCAGCGAGTGATCCATATTGTTCTGTATGACTGCTCTGTCCTAGCCATTATTTGCCACTCCATCAATTTTTGTCTTCTGCAGATGTTGGCGTCACTGATTTTTTTTTTTAATTTTTTTTTATTGTGCTTCCCCATCATTGTGAGTAGCACCTGGTCTTCGTATTATGGTCTTGTGCACCCCCCAGCCCATTTTTTTTCCCTGGTAGTTCTTATCAGCAAACACTGAAGGGACTTTTCTACAGCATTGCATGCCTGTAGTTTTTCTCAGATTTTAATTCTTAACTGATTCCTCTCTTATCTTTCCCTGTACTGGTTGGTTTTTTTCCTTTT